GCCTAAACAGCTCTCCGGGTTTTACTTGTAATTGCCAGACCATTCAAAAGGTTGATTCTATTAGATATCTGGGCGTTATTATTGATAAAAACTTAACTTTCACGGAACACATACACCAGCTAACACAGCAAATCAGAAAGCTAACAGCAGTCTTTAAAAACATAAGAGATAGTGCAGATGAAGACATCATCAAAATGTTGTATTATTCATTATGCCAATCAATACTAAGTTACTGTATTTCTGCCTGGGGTGGTACAAACAAGTCATATCTGCTGCCACTCGAGAGAGCCCAACGTGGTATACTCAAATGTAGTACGAACCGCCCCTACAGATAGGAGGGTTCTTAGTGTAAGACAACTATATATACAAGCACTTATCATTCATCAACACTCATTAACTACATACAACCAAGAGCTTTTGTCCACCCAACGTTCTTCACATAGTGTAAGTGAAATCCCAAGAGTACAAACTATCTTTTCTGGAAAGTTTCCATACTTTTTGGGCCCATATTTATATAATAAAGTAAACAAAGAAAACAAAATAATCCATCTTTCTTCTTTTAAATGCAAAAAAATATTATTTCATATGCTAGTAAAATTAAACTACACAGATACTGAAAATTTCATTGTTCCTCCCATATAGAACCTTAAATCCTTACATTTGTATAATTATTATACATAAATTTACATAATCACACATACACATACACACACACACACACACACACATACTAACACACTCATACATACTAATATTTGAATTCACATACAACCTTTTTTATTGTAAATTTGCTTAGATTTATATTAGTGTTCTAAAAAAAAAAAAAAAACTAGCACTAAGACGGAAGAACCCTGGCTCCTACAAGACGGGCCTAGAGCCTAGTGTAGGAACCAGGCGATCGACCACAATTGTATTAACAGAATTTTTGTAACTTTATAAATAAATCTTTTAATCTTTTTTAATCTTTTAATGTTCAATCACTTTCGTGAAAGCGTGGAACGTGACGAATGTAGGG